CAATGGCGTAGTATAGTTTGCAATGATGGCGAGTTCACCATGGAGGGTGACTAGAGCCTGCCATGCCAGCCCAGCCCTTGCCTCGAACGGCACTGGAACAAGCCCCTCTAGCCAAGAGGGGTCGCCCTGCACCACTCTCCAGTGCAGGGGGGAACCCTTGATCACCCCAACCTTACAAAGTGGCTCAGGACTGGCCCAAGGCTTGGATGCAGCATCCATCTGCCCTTCGATCCCAGCCTTGCAAAGCGAGGGCAAATCATTCAGATCAAATCCTGGCCTCACAAAGCTGCACAGGGCTGACAGCGGCGTGAGGAGCCAATTGTGCAGTGCCCCCTTAAAAAATGTGCCCGGGGCCAACACCCTTGCAGCCATGCCCCACCCCATGCTCCTGATTTCTATCAGGGGATAGGCAACAGTTTCCAGCAAATACCCAGGTGCCTAGAACCGTGGTGCACTTAGGTAATTTTAGACTTCAAGGAGTGGACCTCTTCAGATGGTAAGTTTAAAATTTTGTTTTAATGGTCTTACAGGAGAGAAGTCCCTCTTTAGATGGCCATAAAGGTAAAGGTAAAGGGACCCCCGACCATTAGGTGCAGTCGTGGCCGACTCTGGGGTTGCGGCACTCATCTCGCTTTATTGGCCAAGGGAGCCGGCGTACAACTTCCGGGTCATGTGGCCAGCATGACTAAGCCGCTTCTGGTGAGCCAGAGCAGCGCACAGAAACTCTGTTTACCTTCCCGCCAGAGCAGTACCTATTTATCTACTTGCACTTTGACGTGCTTCCGAACTGCTAGGTTGGCAGGAGCAGGGACCGAGCAACGGGAGCTCACCCCGTCGCGGGGATTCGAACCGCTGACCTTCTGATCGGCAAGTCCTAGGCTCTGTGGTTTAACCTACAGCACCAACTAGATGTGCCAGTGATGTGACTCTATTTAAAGCAGCTATCTTGAAACCATGGGAAGCCCCGCTGCCTATGTTTGAAGGCCCTTCTGCTCATTCTGCCAACGGGGGCCTGAGCTTCTGCCCCAAAGTCCCACCACTGGTCTAGAAGGGTCGCCTGAACTATGTTCCACGTTCATTAGCAGATCATATTGTTTGGTGCGTAGAAGAAGAAAAAGGAGAGCCAGGAAGCATGTGGTCCTATGTCTACATTTTCCGGGTTCTGCTGTCGGATAATTAGAGCAGGTGCTTGCCAGGGCACCTGTGCTATATTGCAAAATCTGGCTTGCAGTTAGTTGATCAGTTGAAACGTGCAGGTGGTCATGTGTGAATTAGATTGGTTGGTGTGTAGAGAGTGAGTTATTTATTTATTTATTTATTTGAGTCCACCCCATTTTATCCTCATAGCAATCCTGTGAGGTGGGTTAGCTTGAAAGACAGTGACTGACGCAAGTGAACATTATGCTGTGTGGGGATTTGTACCAAGGTCTTTCCAGTCCTAGTCCAGCATTCTGCCATTAACTTACCAGGGCAGTTGTTTTCTTCTGTCACTGCACCATCTCTTTCTAAGAAGGGTAATGCTTCAGAGGAAGAGAACCTTAAGAAATCTGTTCACTTCATATTTCTAAATGAACTGTCCTGTTTCGCACTTCCTGAAATAATACACAAATTGGAACGCTCTTATCCTTTGGTTTTCCACACTACTCCACTTTTTCCAAAACAGTTCTCAGCTCAAACTATGTTCCCAAATGCTTAAAATGCATGCATTTATTATTATTATTTGCATGCTTTAGGGTAAAATGTGTACAGAAATGTGCATTCTGTGAAAAAAAATGTTTTAAAAGTTTTGTGCATTGTTTCTGGAAAAATCCAAGAAGATTTTTTTGAGGAGAGAATGCAGTGGCTGGGGGACGGAATGAACCTGTGCATGAAAATGTGCAAAACTGACATGGACTGGTACGGTCTTTGTTTCCTGTGCACTCCATCTCTCTTCCTTTAAAGAGCAATCACACCACACATGGATTCCTGTTGACCCAGTCCCTAAGCTGAGTCCCGGCGACAGCTGCAGGAAGCATGTTGCTAGAGCCAACTGCTGGACCTGACAAGACGTGTTAATTAGGACATGATGCACCGCGATATGACACATCTAAAGTACAGCAAAATTGGCGACATCAGTCACAGTGGTGGAGAGAGGGCACGTATGACATTTTTAATTAAAGAAAAGCATGCTCTGACAGCCAGGTGTCGAGGGCAGCATCCAAGTTCAGCTCCCTGGAGCACTCACTTTAACTATTTAAGGCTCCCTTCTCCGACATTGTCCCTGACCTAGATCTAAGCAGCCTTCTGCAGCCTGAGAGAAAATCATGCCATGGACTAAGAAGAGCCCTGCTAAATTGGACAACAATCCCTTTCAACCCAGAAATCTATTTCCAGCCATGGCCAGTCAGACAGCCCTGAAGAGCTCACAAGCAGGGCATGATGAGCATAGCTTTCCCTTTTACTTTTATCGCCAACCCCTTGTGCCATTTGTCTGGTTTTGCTGAGGACAGCAGATACTCAGGTTTCCTGGTCACAGCCTTCCTCACTGTGAAGCTATGCGCTGCACTACTATTTAAATGATAGCAATTATTTCTAAAATCATGCAAATTTGCATATGCAAACCTGTATCCTGCTTGGTCCTCTATTTTTTTTTTAATGATATGTGAGTGGCCACCCTCCTTTCCATTTGGCTACTAATCATTGACTTGCTGCTTTGAAATTCATCTAAGCCAATTGCCATAGTCATATCTTGTAATAGGGAATTCTATCTATCCACAGATCCACTCTATGGACCTTTGCACCCCCGGCCTTCTCACTCAGCTTGGGGCTTTAGCTGACCACAGCTATCTGTCAGGGTCATTTAAAACATACTGGAGGTGTATGTGGAGCTCCTCTGTAAACCTACTGAGGCCAACTTTAGTTTGTTTTACTTGTAGTTTCTGGAAGGGAGGGAGGGAGGGGAAGAGAAACCTACCCCAAAATCTAAAGTAACTGGTGCGAATTAAGTCACACTGCATGGGGTGCAATATTTCAGTTCGTTAACTTTGTGGGTTTTCCCATCAATACTCTTCTCAGTAAATAGAGGGAATTTGGTTCCCCAGACAGCATCACACAACTGCTCCTTATTGCATTGCTTCTTATGGTGTCTTTTGTTTTATGTGGAATTCAGACAGAGGTCAGTTAGCTGTAGCTATGCTGGATACATGGATCTGCCATGCTCAGAGGCCGCATACCGCTGAATACCAGTTTCATGATGTGGGAGAAGAATGAAGAAGGGCCCTGCACCTTGAACTGTTGTGTAGAAGAAAGAGGTGGCTGGTGCCCATTGAGACTAGCAGAGCAGCTAGCAGGGAAGCAAACAGCAGAAAGATGACAGCCAGTGCCACTGGTCTCTAGTTTGACAGGTGTGGTGTGAGCTGATGGAGCACAGGCTGAGGTTGGTGGGGCAGAACCCCATTCACTCCAGTGGAACAGCCAGATTTCATAAAAAGCTACACCTGCTGAAGTTCATGCTTCTACACAACCACTGAAGGTGCAGGAGCCCTGCCCTCTTGTGTCTGGCCCCCAGCCTATTGCTTTTGGGCTTCCCTGAGGTGTCTGATTCATCTCTGTGGGAAGGGGACAATGGACTAGAATGGGCCATCAATATCATATAACACAGCTCTTCTCCTTATATCTTTCTGCTCATTAAATGACACCTAATGGGAGTAGCTTTCAGATGAAAACAGCTTGTCATTTGTCCCACATCTACGTGAACACTGTCCTTTGTGGTGGTGTTCCTATACTGAAGGGGCAAGCTATTAGGACACAAAATGGTTGGGTGACCCTGAGTTGATTTTGAAACTTCTGGAGGCCAGGCAATCAATGCCTTTAAAATGCAGAGCTGACCTGAAAGCGCTGGAATTTTAAAATCCATCACACAAAGATATTATTACACAGCTGATGTCCATTGAGTGTGTGAAGGGGAAACAAAGAGGGAGTCTAACTATTTGAAGACAATCACCTGGTGCTGTGCAGGACAGGCAGTGAAGAGCAGTTCCTTCTATAGCAGTTGCTAAATTATAACCTTTGTAGAATCAGCCTATTGACTTCGTGGCTTTCTCAGACTCAACCAGACAGATTGTTGTGGCTCTTGTATTAGCTGGTTGAAACATTATTTATGGTTGTTGGTTCACCAAGGCTTTAATTTATAATAAATCAGCTATGGAGCTCATCTCATTGATTTCTGAGGAAGTATTAAGTAGCAATCAATAAGACATTCATATACAAGTATTTTTGCCATTCAAATCTTTCATCGGAGTACATCTTCACGTAGTGAGATGTGGCTTTTATTGTATTGAGGAGTCCTACTGAAACAAATACTGTGCAGTTTACCCCACTGTTGAAATTTTGCTAAATAAATAAATAAATAAATAAGAAAGATGCAGTTCCTTTAAATTTTATTTAGAGGGTGGGATCTTCCTTTGGTAAAGCTTTGATAGAAGCCAAAAGGTAATCTCAAAAGAGTATTAAAATTTATTGGGGTGTTGGTGGTCCCAAATACAGGTAACTGTAGTTTGCCATTAAAAGTGAATCTGGTATTTAAATACGTGGGAAATTTTTGGTTCTTTAAAAAATCAAGTTTTGATAACATTAGTGCAGAACCCTTTAATTCTTCAAAAGGGATGTTTGATTCTCTTTTAGGGGCGGGGGGGGTTGAGCATCTTTTTTGCAGTTAAAGACAGAAATCACCCCCAGATTTCAGGAAACATATGTCTCCCACCCTCACAAAATTCGCCTCCAGAGTTCTCTCTTGAGAACTTTTCATTTAAACCTAGGGTTGAGAAAATCACTTAGAGATTATGTTTAATGGAATAGCCAATAACAGTATTGATAACAGCCTAGTTTGTTTCAACCTATTTCATGGCAATTAAGGACTTTCAAACTGGGCTGTATAGAAAGCAAGCTGACTTATTCTGATTCAAACTATCAGTCCATCTAGGTCAGTATTGCCTTCCAAGTTTTCAGACCAGGATCCATCCCTGTCCTACCTGGAGATTCTGGAGAGCTAACCAAGGACCTTCTGCATGTAAAGCAGATGCTCTCCCACTGAGCTACCAGAAAAGGAAATAGAGGCAGATGCCAGATAACCTGTGAGATATGGGTGAGTTGTGTCTTGCCTGATCACTGGTGAGGCTGGAAGTTGTGCCCTGGGAAATACAACTACTGTGGACATGTTGCCCTCTCTGAAGTTTTGTGCTGTGGTTTGTGGTACTGTAGAAGTTATGTGTGTATAAATACTGTATGTTGGGGCCAATATGCCAAGGGTGCCACAAACAGCTCGTTATTGACCTTATCTAGAGGTTGGGCCCTAATTCAGATCCATCAAGGTTATAGCATGCTCCAAGTGAGAAAGCCTGTTCATCAAAGGCTGCGTCAAGCTGTCTTGTCCACTTCTATTATGCACAAGAGAAAATAAGCACCTGGTCTTTGGCTCCAGACTCTGTTTATTTCAGTAGCCATCCTTCACTATGCATGGATGCCCTCAAGCTACACCACAATCCTATCTGTCTTTCCCTGCTGTTCCTCTCCTGGCTTTCTCCTCTCTTCCTTTTGGAAACGTGCCTTGGATGGCTACCAATAAAAGACAGCTTGAATGTGTCTGTATGTATCTCCAGTGTAACACACAGGGAGTTAAAAATTGGTGAGGCCATTCAGTGTGCAAGCTGTCAGATTGTACTCTGTTATATTGATCATTTATATTTCACGATTCTTGGGATATTCTATAGTCGTGGAATTCTCACTTCCGTTGCCAGCACGGACAGCATTTAGTGATGAAAATGGGGCAATTGTCTTGGGGTAAACCTGAAGAATGAATGGCTGTGACGTTGCATAATGAAGTTTAAAAGCTTATGCTTCAAAGTGACTGCATCAAATATGGCCTTATTTGATAATGAATAATGCCTGCAATATTTAGCATCAAAGTAATCTGACTTTAGCAGTCCATAATGTGACTCCCAGCCTGTCTATGTGTGATCTGTTCCTGGGCGAGTTCAAGACTCCTGTTCTTCCTTCCTTTGGTTCTTTAAACAAGACTTGGACAGCTCTTCAAACGGAGGATTGCTGTCTCACAGCCTTTTAAACTGAGCAGAGATAGGGAACATATAGCCCTCCAGATGTTTCCCAACCCTGAGATAGAGAACTGCACCCACTGTTTAGTAAGTGGACACATGGCCACAGCTCCCCTGCAGTATATTGAGATTTGGGTCCATCATCACAATTATGGAGAGTTTCGCTAAGCAGGGGGTGGGGACCTGTGGCCCTTGGGGACCTATGGTTGCGACAACCCCATGATTGTCATGGCAGCCATGAAGCCCAGAGCCACCCCAGAGCCTTTCACTCCTGCATGGATATTGAAGTCCCACAAAACCAGTAGTCTGGAAGTCCTCAATGCTGTCTCTTAGACCAGCTCTGTCAGCTCAGGTAAGGGGACTGCTGGGCAGTGAGGTGGGCAGTAAATCAGCATACTCTAGGATCTCCCCCAAAAAATACTGGACAGAGAGCCCAGAGAGAGAGATGGCAAAGACTACAGCAACTCCTTATCCCCAATCCTCAAGTCTGCCCTGATGCTGCATTAAGTATCCAAGTGGGTACAGCTGACTGAGACCAATTCCATCCTACTCAGGCCTCAGTGATACAGACCAGATTGGCCTCCTCATCCATAATCATATTATGCATGAGGGAGGTCATACTCAAAGCTGACTTGTCATTCAGCAACAGCAGCTGCAGACCTGACGATTGGCTGATAGGACAACTGCAATTCCCCAGGTTGGAGAAGGGGCTGACGTATGACACAGTCACTAACTGCCTGTGATGTGTGCCCCTTACCCAGCCTGCTCAACTCCCCACAATTGGGGTCACCCCTGCTCTCCCCAGCTTCTCTCTTCACAGGAACATCTTACATCCCTGTTAAAAACCAGGTAAAAACAAGGTAAAACATTTTAAGTGATTAGGGCAATAACAACAGCAACAACCCCCCCCTCCCAACCAAACCCCCTAAACAATACCCCAACCCAAGAGTCTGTTCAGCTGCCTCAGCTTTTTTAGATAGAGTCAGTCAGGACCCTGCCCACAAGCCAGATGTGAATGGGCCTCAAACAGGGGTGCCAACTTGAATAAAATATGGGGGGGACAGGTAAGCCCTGCCCTGCATAACCGGTCACATGACACAGTGTGTGTGTGCACGTGCACACACACTTGAATGGCAATGCCCATCAACTTTGCCCCCCCATCCCCTTCAAATATTTTATTGGGGGGCAATGACTCCTTGGCTCCTATGCCTTCAAGGCAGAGAGCAGATCTTCCAGGATTCACAGCCAAAATGGTCTAAGGAAGGTTGTGCTTTCCAAGTGACTTCCTTCATTTGCTGGTGACATTGGGTAAATTTGGTGCTTGTGATAACATTGCATGAACCCAGCCCTGGAAATGCAATGAGTGTGGAGTAAACAGAAGTGTGAATACAGCAATACTTACCATTGTGGTTAGCCTGAATAGGCTGCAAAGGTGTAATGGGACAAAAAAACATTTCACCTAAGATTGCGGCTCCATTCTCACAGGCTTGAGGCAGTATTGGGGGCTGTGGCTCCTGCTGTTTTGTAGGTTTCTGTCTCTTCAACAATTAGAAACTCAGGAATGCCTTCTCTGGGGATGGCTGTGTGGTGCCTTTCAGCAGTGCTAAATTCATGCCGAGAAAGGTACTTTGTTTTGCTTTTAAAGTGAGCTGCGTGAAAATGATGTTTTAGACTCTTCCCAGTGGTTTGGCTCCTGGCGACAACCACAAGACCGATTCTCCTCTCCATCCCTTTCAGGTGGTCCTCCATTGACTTTAATGGCCTGTTTCCTGATTTACCCCAGCAGAAGAATCAACATCTTCATGCCAGCTCCATTTTGCACCATGCTGCTGAAAATGTACTACCCCCCGTGCTATTTTCCCTGCAATGTGATTAATGAACCATTGTCTATTAAAACAAAAGAAGATGAGATTGAAACTATCCTCAGCTTCATTCTTCCCCTTCAAAAGTGGTGTGTGTGTGTGTGTGTGAGAGAGAGAGAGAGAGAGAGAGAGAGGGCATGCAATGCACTTCAAAAACATATATATCCACCTTCGTTAGCTGGGTGCCCTCCAGACGTTTTGGGCTACAACTCTCCTAAGACCTAGCCAGCACAAGCTGGGGCTGATGGGAATTGTAGTCCAAAACATCTGGAGAGTACCAAACTTATGAAGACCAGTGTATATGTTACATATATGTAGACCTGTGCAATCAAGATTACTGTGGGAGGCCGAGGGGAGAGGGAAGCGTTCTTCATTGTAATGAAAACACAAACGGACAAGATAATTATCTTCATATGCTTTTGGATCTGTGCCAATACATCTCGTTTTATAAAGCCCATTAGAGCTGTGAGTTTTATGTAAAACAGGGAAAAAAGAAAAGGGAAAAAATGTCAGGCAATAGAATCAAAGCAATTTGGAATATTAAGGGGGGGGAGTGCAAAGAGAGAAGTGTTAGGCAATAAAAGCCTTTGGAGACCCAGCAAAACAATATTCTAGTAAAATGATAATAAATTACTGTGGTTTAATCACTTGGTAAATAAGCAGCATAGTTTTGTGGAATTTTAGTGTGGCAATAAAAGAGAAGTTCAAAAAAAACAAACCCACTGAAAAATAAAATAATAAAAGAACACCACATTAGAGATTCAGCTGGGAAAGGTTAGGTGAAGGCAGCGTAACAAAAAAGTATCATTTTTGGCAATTTAGTCTTTTTAAATAATAGTGTATTATTTTCTACATGGATCCACTTTTTAAACCTCGCACAGGCTTTTAAGATCTCACTTACCGAAATATGATTTCCCTTCACCCCACCCTTCCTTTCATACTCAGCACACTCTTGAGTCTTTGAACACACAAAATGATATTATTCTGGGCAATCTTCCCCAGTGCAGCAAAAAAGCAAACACTTACTAAATTCCTGGAGGGACTCAATGTTAATAATGATTTTCCGTGTGCCTGGGTCCTCCTAATTGCAGGAGGCTTATATATGGCACACTACTGCATATATTCACGGAGGCATGCTCATTACCTATTTAAGAACTCAAAGCTGAGTTGGAACTTAGGGTGCAATCCAAAAGTGTGTGCGAAGATGAAGTGCCTTAATTTAGTAGACTCCACCTCCTGATTTGATCAGAATATTGAAACAGGTGAAGTTTAAATCTTGAATGCCTGTGGTGAGGCAAGATGGGTCCAGACCTTTCAGTTTATGCACTTCTCTCTGTCACTTGCCTCTCACTGAAGGAAGATGTCAGTAACTCAATCAGAAATTTGCCATGGTATAGGACTCCAAACCTCTTATTTTGGAGGGGCCCAATAGCACAGAAACCAGCTCAGGAAGGAGCCTTCAACGGATACTCCCATAGAAGAGGCTCCTAAAAGGGCAGTAGTGTCTCAGCCCTGTTTGCCCAAGGAGTTATCCCTGTCCTCATGTTGTTGGACTACAACTCCCATCATCACTAGCTAGCAGAACCAGTGGTCGGGGATGAAGAGGGCTATAGTCCAACAACAACTGGGGACCCTAGTTTGAGAAACACTGGACCAAGAGAACCACCAACAGCTTGGGAGAACACTCCCCCACTATTACACCATGCCTCATTGAAGCACAGACCCTTTAAGCCCAAACGTGTCCTCAGAGAAGGCAGAATTTGAGGCATTCACCTTGCTACAGGACTACTTAAACCGACGGTTGACTTCAGATTATCTCTGGAGAAACACTCATTGTTTGCTGGGTTGCTTTGTATTCAGCTTGCCTTTTTAACTCAGCCTTCTTCAACCTTGGGTCCCAAGTGTTATTGGACTACACTCCCATCATCCATGATTATTGCTTAAATTGACTGGGGATGATGGGTGTATTAGTCCGATAAGATCTGGGAACACAAAGTTGAAGAACTCTGTTCCACTCTACCCCTTAGTGAGCTGTCCAATATCTGGTTCACCTGGATGCAATCCTGGATTCATGTTATGCTTTGCTGGTATGCCCTTGCAGGCTTCAGCCTAGAACAGGTTAGAAAT